TCGGGGACAGGGGGCGGAACGACCTCTCGATCTACTTACTGCAGCCCAGGAATAAAAACGTCGTCTAGGCGTTCCCTCTTGCTCCGATCCCCCCGTAGCCTAGGGCGTTGTCTGGGCCAAGAGCCATAGTTAGTTGCTGTTTCCATTTGGTTGTTTTTTTCTTGACTGCTATCATTTAAACTCTATAAACGAACAGAATGTGCCACTTGGACCATACTACTGTTTTCGCCAATAAGGCTCCTCCAAAGACAAAAATGAAGTAGCTTTCAAAGGAGTAAATTCATTCTATCCCTAGTTTCTTCTATGTGACAAAACTTACATAGAAGTTTTTTTAGATGAAGTTTGCAAAGTGCTTTCTTAAAAAAAAATTATTAAAAATTTTAATAAAAAATTTAAATTCATAAATTGATAGAGTTTAATGTGAAAATCAATAATATATAAAAAAATTATTAAAAATATTATTTATAATTCAAATTTGATTAATATTTATTTAACGGTATAAATTTTATTAACATTTTTACTAAAATATTTATTTAAAAATATATATCAAAATTTAATAAAATTTTTTTAAATTTACATACTTAATCTATGTAATGAGATATTTTAATTTATCGATTTTAATTTTTTACTTTAATTTTTATTTAATCGCTTCTAATAAGAAACTTCACGAATTTTACCTAAAAAATTTCATTTAAGTACTTTCTTTTTTCACAATAATTTGAGAAATTCCATCTAGATCTTTCAATTTTGAGCATAATTTAACATAAGTTTATTAGTTTAAAAAATAGAAAATTCACTCCAAACTTTTTAACTTTGATAATAAAATTTAAGCAATTACAAAATTACCCCTCAATCTAATATATTCCACATATAGTAATAAAAATTATTTGTGTTTAAATATTACAACTTCTTAACTCGGGTTTATTTATTATAATGATTTTTGATTTAAAATGTTATCAATATATTTTCACAAATATATAAATTTAAATTGAACACATACTTGAGTATTATAATAACTAAAATCGAATTGACAAATAGCTAATTGTAACTTTTTTTCAACGACGAATCTTATTTTATATTACATCCTTCATTTTTTTTAATAGTTATATGTCAAAATAATATTACATGCTTAATATTTATTTTGTTACAGATATATTTACATATGTATTATCATACTTATAATTGTAAGTTTTGTTTTTATATGTTGCATTTAAGAAATTTTTTTTAATTTTTAATAGATTTTATATATTTTGAGAAAAATAAAAATGCTTTATTATTGTAAATATTATTTTATGTGATTATTTGAGAATATTGATTTTTTAAGGGTAAAATAATATTTAAATAAAGTTTTAATGGAATAACTAACGGATTACTAACAAAAGAACCTACGTGTCCTATGAAATTGAAAAGTTTGAGGCAAGTTGTTCATTTTTTCAAGTTAATGGATTTGTGCCGAATTATGTTCAAAATTGTGGAACTCGAATGCAATTTACCCTTTTGAAAATTATTAGGCGACTTTTTCCACTACTATAATGGCAAGCAAGAAAATACAAATATAGGGTCTAATCAATATATATTGGTCAAATTGTGCCAAAGGTCTCTATATTTTATGAAAATTTAAAATTTAGTCATTACTTTATCATTTATACAAATTTAGCAGTTATACTATTTTAATTTAATAATTTTAATCTAATCACTAATCCGTTATTTATTTATGGTTAAAAATGCTAACATGATAGTTAACTTAATGACTTGGGCACTAACTTTATTGGCGTGACATTGATTTCGTCGTTGTAGCGTTGATTTACTCACATAGCAAATTAGATGGATAAAATCAATTATTAAATTATATAAATAGTCTTTATACTCACATAAAATTTAAAATTTAGTCTTTATTTTCTCATTAAATTTGAAATTTGGTTCCTCTAATATAAAAATATTTTGTATTTTTTAGAAAATTTTTAGATTTTTTAAATTATTATATTTACTTCTTTCAATATTTTAATTTATTAATTTCATTTTTTTTAATTTTTTAATTTTGAATTTTTTAATATTTAGAAATTTAGAATTTTTTTGGAAATTTTCAATATTTTGAATTTTTTTTTTAATTTTTCTACTTTTTAAAATATTAAATTTAGTTTTTTTTTTCAATATTTTAATTTTTAAATAAAAATTATTTTTGAATTTTTTATGTTTTCAAATTTTAACATTTTATTTAATAAAAATATTTATTTTTTTACTTTTTAGAATTTTATAAAGTTTTCTATATTTTTATATTTTTATGTTTTTAGAATTTTTTTTATATTTTTTATATTCAAATAAAAATAAATAAATAAATAAACTATAAAATAAGCATGGATCTTTAGAATTTGTTTTATTCTCAAATGAAATTAACGTAAAAATTAATAAAAAAAACTTATATTTATTAATGTTTTATCACTATATTTGATTTATTTTGTATATATATTTTTTATTTTTAACTGTGACATTTTATACCAAAAAAAATAAGTGCAGTAATGAGTTTAAAAACATTTAAATTTAAATTTTATTTGTACTTTTAAAAAATAGCAAAAAAATTTTTTAAAAATTATAATCTAATCAAAAATTATAATCATTAAATAATCAACTATCAAATTATAATATAATTAAATAATTAAATTCACGTACAACGAAACTTGAACCTGTTATTTTGTAATTTTAAGATCTCTTCCTCGTTGATAAATCAAGGCTTTATTGGTAAAAATAAGAAAAAGACTTAACTAATCTTTAAAGTATAATCTTTTGTTTTTTATCATTTGATTTTTGAGTAATTTATCCAACTAATTTGACCTTATTTAATTTATTTCACTGTATTAATAATTTTAAGGTTAATATCATGAATAATCTTTAAATTATAGTAAAATTTTTAACTGATACTTGAATTTTAAAAAATTTTAATATAATTTTTAAATTATAAATTTAATTAGTATGATACTTAAAATATTATTTTGTACATTACGTGCAATTATTTAAAATTAATTACGTTAAAAGTGAGTATTATATTAATTAATAAATTTATAATTTATATATTATATTAAAAAATTTTAAAATTTAAATATCATATTAAATAGTTATTATAATTTAAAAATCATTTATAATATTAACTCATAATTTTATAAATGGGATTGATAGGAAATATAAAATCAATAAAATATTTGAGTTTGGTTTAAATTACAAACGTGACAAAGACCAAAAACGTGTTAGGCAATTTAAATTCTAAAATCAATAGAATAGTCATTAGTCACTGTCACCTTTTTCATAAATAATATCTTCGAAAAGAATTTAGAATCCCATCAAAACGGCCTATAAAATTGCTACTACTCTCTCATTCTCAATTGTATTTGCCTTTCACAACATTTAAATCGAATATAACTAACGTGAATGATTATGATACAATTATATAATCTCCAATGGGATATTCTAATGATTTTTTGTTTGGTCTCAAAATAAAACTCTATTTTTATGAGACAAATTTTTTTAAATTGAATCGAATCATCTTGATTATGTAGTTTAAAATAGAGATATAAATGATATGTTAGTACTCATAACTTATTTAAATTTGACTCAAATAAAATTTAAATTCGATTTTGTTATTATCGAATCGAGCTCAAGTTCGAATAGTTCAACTTATAGATCGAATCAAGTTTGAGTATTTTTATATCAAATTCAAGTAACTCATGAGCCTAATATAATTTTTATATTTTAATTATTTTAATTAATAAAATATTTTGAATTCGAACATAAATAATCAAGTTTTTTTTCAAATATAAAAATTAAACTTATTTTTATATGTTAATTGTACTTAATCAAACAAGCTTGAATAACTCGATTTCTATATTAAATTGAGCTCAAATTAAAAAAATAAAACTTGATCGAATTCAAGTCGAATTTTAAGTTTTAAATTTTGAGTCAAATTCGAATTTAATATTATATCGACTCAAATTCGATTGATTACACTCTTAATTTAAAATCTTTATTTGTAATAAAATATGATAAAATCAATCAAAATTTTATTATTATTATTTAAAAAATTAGCAGAGATTTTTTTTATTATTATATTAAAAAAAAGGTAATTTGAATTCTCATGCGCTTATTAATTACATGATTTATTGATAAAATATTAAAATTTTAATTTTAATAATTAGAGTTTCGCCTTTAATAATTTTCAAATAAAAAAATGTTCAGGCACAATCAATTAGAATTATTATTTATAAACGTGCAGATAAAAAATTATTATGTGTCATTGTTTTATTAAATTAATTTATTGGCTTTCTAATCTCTACCAACAATGTATTATATAATTTTACAATCATTAAAAAAACAACTTGCAATTTGAGAAATACATTTAATTAAGTTGATTTCCAACATAACTACGACTCACTTGAAAATTTAAAATATGATATGACACATTATGAATATAAAATTAATATAAAATATAAAAATAATATAATTTAAAATTTAATAATAATTAGATGTAAATTTAATAAAATAAAAAATATATTTTTTATGTTTTTATATTAATATAAATTATAATTCATAATTTTTATATAGAATATAATATAAATATATAAAATTTAATATTTTATTCAATATTAATATTCGAATCGATAAATTTACAGGTGTGAGCTAGTTAGACCAAATTAAAATTCCAGGTTTGGCCAATAAGGCTACGTTGGCAGCCAAGAAAATACAAATTCCATGGTCTAATCGATATGTGGACCAGTGAAAAATATCATGAAATTGAGAAAGTCCCATCTCTATTATTAGGTAGGAGTACCGATGTTTTCCAGGAAAGGTACACCATAAATTTGAACCACATAAAATTATTAAATAATTGAGGCTTCAGAATCAATTTCGTCGGCAGTGATTAAATGATTAATGGAAGTATTTTTTATATTAAAAAGTTAAGGGAAAAAAATAAAAGAAACAGCTTGACTCTATCAATAATCCAAATATATGGGAAAAAATTTCTGGATTTTTTCTATTAATTTGATATATGAATCAGATTAACAACAAGATCATCCCAAGATCAGTAAACAGCTAAATGCAAGAAAAATGAAAATATTTTATTATAAATTGTGAACAAGTTACATCTAAATCATGCTTTTTTCTCCTTGGTTGGTGGTGGTGGAGAAAGCAAGAATCTGAAAACCCAAGCAGCCAAAGTTGCTCCAATCAAAGGACCAATCCAATAAACATAATAAAGCTCCCAAGAGTTGTGCCAATTGTTGACATATGCCCATCCAAAAGCATTGGCAGGATTCAGGGAAGGTCCAGTGTACTTAAAGCCTGTTCTAACCAATCCAACAGTTGATGCAGCCATTAACCAAAGCTTAAGCAAAGGGTTTTTAGGACCCTTGAACAAAATCACAAGGAGAGCAAGACAGAGCCCGAATGTCAGCAACCCTTCAGCTAAAAACCCAGTATGTAAATCCACTCTCAGGGAAGGTCCTTTTAGGGTTTTCCTGTATTCCCCTGGAATCACTCCCAAAATTGCCTTGACACCAGCTACTCCACCAGCAGCCTGAGCAGGGAAACGTACAGCCATGGAAAGGAGAGACGAGTCTTTCTTGAGACCAGCGGCGTAGAAAGTGAGAGAAGCCGTGGGATTCCAGCTGGCGCCACCAAAAGCATCGCCAATCAAGCTGAAGATAAACACCATAGTACTGACCAAGTTTGTGGTAATGAAAAGAGCAGCCAAAGGCAGCGTTTGAACACCAAGGAAAGTTGCTATTTTGCCTGTGAAAATCTTTAGAAATGGCATGCTAAATACCCACATCGATGTTAACAGGGCATCTCCTATGGCTGCCTTTATCACTCCCATCTTTAGCAGTGTTTTCCCTCTGGTTGGCCTGGAAGAGTCTCAGAATCAGACTACAGGCTCTCCTTTGGTTTGGCTTTTTTTGCCCCTTCCCTTCTTTCTTTTTTCTTTTCTGATGCTTTGTCAAAAAAGCATTTCAACTTGTCCGAAAACAAACAACTCCAAGGTACCATTAACTTACCTGTTCTTGTGGGTGGTGGTAGTGATACCGCGTTCATCTTACCTAACAAAGTACTACTATTCATTCATCTTACCTAACAAATTACTAGTAGTAAATTACATATATATGTATATATTGTTTTAAGAACTAATAATTATATATTGAAAGAAAAGCAAATTTGAATGCATTTATCTCAATTAATTTATATAATAATTTTTAAATATTATATTTAATAAATATGAGTTTAAATTTTAATATTTGTAATATTTTTTATTTAAAATAAAAAATTATTTAATATCTAAATTTAATAATTTTAAACATAATATGTTGACCACACAAAACAAAAACGATATTTAAAATAATATGAAAGTGATATAGTTTAATATTTTATTAAAAATCATATATAAATTTAAAAAATATATATATATATTGTATTGGACATATTGATATAAATTGTAATATGATAATTTTTTATTTTTGATACAAAACAAACATAATATAAATTCATAAATTATTAGATCTAGTTATATTAATAACTATAAATTTTATAAAAATTTTATAAGCTCTTAACAATATGTAAATTTTATAAATTCTTATTTTATAAAATTTGTAATTCAATAAAAATGAAATTGTTGCTTTCTTTTAAATAATCTTATTATTAATCATAAGATTATTTTGGATGTTTTATGTTTAATGATTTTTTCTATGAAATACTAAATATAATGCTATAATATTACATCAAACATAATAATATAAATTTATTAGTGATAACATTACTTTGATGAACTTATCACCATAAATATTAAATAATTACGATAATTTTAAAAATATATCTAATATTACTTCAATTATAAATTCCTATATATGTCATTTCAAAGAACCAAACTCAACACTCAATATTGGACCACCACTATTAATATTATTATTATTATTTTTAATTACGAACTTGGTCTATTTCCTCTCCCAAAACCAAGATTTTATGTCTTATTATAAATAAGGTGGATTAGGCTTTAGATAAAATCAAGAGAAAAGGGAAGATTATCAAATTAAAAAAAATTAAAATATATTAAAAAGGGTTGAAAAGAAGTGGGAATTTTATATGTATTAGTAATAGTAATTTGAATAATATATATAATATTAAGAAGATGAAAATGGGAACGTTGTCAAACATTTGGACCCTCTTTAATTTTTAAAGCCAAAATTATGACCTAAGGTCTCAAAATTCAAGTACTCGTGTTTGCAAATATTATTGGCCTTGGGAAAGTTTGGCACCAGATATCACCTTATTCCTCAGGGGATTTGGTGGGTCCAAATCCAAAGTCACCGACACTTTTTTTATTTTTTTATGGATCTATATTTAATAATTTAATAATTTATATAAAAATTATGTATTAAAATTTATATGGTATAAAAATATGAAATATATATTTATAATATTATTAAATTTATATATAATTATATTTAAAATTTTAAATCTTATGATTTTTATGTTTTTTATTCATATCGCATTTATATTATATTATAGAATTATGTTTTAAATTATAAATTTTTTTTACTGTTTCACGATAATCAAACTACAAATTCAAAGTAAATTAATATATTATTATATTAATCAAAGAAGCAGAGCATGAATAATAATTTTTTAAAAATTTATTTGCCTTGAAAATTTTACTTTTATATTTATTTGATTAAAAAAATATTACGTTCATAAATTTTTTAAACTCATCACCTCCAAATGTAAATTTTACAAAAAAAAAAAGTTGATTGATAAAATTCTTTAATTTCAAATATTTTGTTTGTTTTTGCCGAAAACATGTGTTTGATTTTTTTTCTTCTTTGAAAAGGGCAAGAAAATCATTGTAGGAGAGGCAGATCACCTTTTTTTTTTTTTTTTTAAGATATTCATTATTAATTCTATGATAATATTTTGAATAAAAAATGAATTTAACTTACATAAATATCTAATACAATTTTGAGATTAGGACCTAATAATTGATATTTAGAAGATTTTATTCTAATTATATTGTGTGCATGCATACTCAATATATAAATATATATATATATATATATATTTGCTCTTCCCAGTAAAGATTTTTACATAATTATAATAAAAAAATTTAATGAATAGAAATTTTGATGGAAAATTTGGAGGAAATAAGAAACCATAAATTTTGACTAACCAAAAATATGATTTTACTAAAATTACAAAAAAAAAAAAAATCAGTATTCACTTTTTTAATTAGACACTAAAAAAATATATAAACCCATTGTTTTATTTATTCTTTTACATTTTAATAATTTCCTAAAATTTTACTTTTATTTTAATTTTTTTTTCCAACAAAACATAGCATAATACTTTTCAATTTGGAAAAAAAAAAAAAAAAGGAAAAACAAAATCATGATTGACAAAGAGCAAAATTTGTTGATGATGAAGCTTGAAGACATGAAGTAGTGGAAACCAAATAATTTAAAATTGGAATTTCCTACAAAATTTCAGTAAAAAGGTCCCACAAATGCTCTCTTGACAACAAACATACCATGAGAAAATGCACCATCAAATATATATATATATATATATATATATTATAAACACAAATATATATAAGTAAAGATTAATTTGTGTAATGTAAAACTTAAAAAAAATGTATTTTTAATTATATCTTTATCTTCAATTTGTGTATTTTCATTGCATTGACTGAAATTTGATTTATATGGGAAGCATTTTACCTACAATAATTGTAATATAATTAATCAATAAAAATTTAAAATGTGTAAATTTATTAAAATTTTATGTGAATCTTATATTTATAAATAGTAGATCCCGATATAATTTTTTATTATAATTGAATAATTATAATATTACAATAAAAAAAATTATAAATGATATACTCCTTTTATATGGAAGTAACTTTCTTCCCCTTTTCTTAATTAGAAAAAATTGTATGTAAAAGTTTTTATTTTGGTTATTATTTATTAAAATACCTTTGCTCGGATTTAGATTTTAATTTTAATTAGTTCATATAATTATTTTTAAAAAATATCCAACATATTTGAAATTCAAATCATAATATTTGTAATCATTTTCTTATATTCCTTTACTCATGATTAAGTGAGACAAGAATGTCTTAAAATACATTTAGATAAAAAAAAAATCGATCGAAATATAAATATATAAAACAAATCATTCTTTTTCTTTTGATTACTTATTTAGAAAATTTGAGTATTGAAATATAGTTGATCATAAGTGATTTTACTTTTTAGTTATAACATTTGAGTAATTAAAAATTTATTTTTTTACAATATTATTTATTTTGATTGCATTTTCATCTCATTTTCCTCTAAATTACTTTCCCATTATCCCATCTTTATATAAAATTATTTCACAAATAATCACTATTTATGAGTTTCATCTCTTGTTAAAGAGTTATACATATTAGTAGGTCTCCTACCCATCTTTGTCAAAAAAAAAAAAAAACTTAATTAAATTAATAAAAAATATGAATTAAAATTAGAATTATATATAAAATGTTTGATTGTCTTTTATGCAATGAAGATTATGCTATCAATAGAGATGAATTCAACTCTTTTATTTTTTTTTTTAACAAGTCAAAATGTATGTACATTGCTAAGATTTCTCATTTCTTTAAAAATTATTTGAAATCTCATGCTGGAATCTTCAAAATCTCATATTAGTTTAGTAATAGGATGTGATTGTGAAGGTCAAGTCATGTATTTTTATATATTTAATTACCCCATGAATTAAAAAGAAATCATTTTTTTTAAATTGACAAATTAAAGGCTATAAAAATCTATATATTTGATTAACACACGTGCATGGGAAAAGTCTGAAACTGTAGCTTTGCCTGTGCTTTGAGCAGTGATCAAAGAGTCAAAGAGAATATCATGATTGAGAGAAAAGTCTAATACACTGTTAAAAATGGAAAACACACCACCATCTTTGCTTGTTGTCCAATTCAAAAATCAACCTAGAAGATCCGTCAGATTCTGGATGAAATCTGCCGGATCTTGCTTTCCAAACTGTCAGATTTTCCATGGGATTTGCATCTTCTTCCCCATGGCCATCCTTTTAAAACTCACCTCCCCATGTCTTCTTTTCCTCCATCCCTTCTTCCATTCCCAAGATTCCCATCTTCTTCTTCTTTTCTGGGTGTTGAAATCACATCTTTAACAATCATGGGAGTGGCTTCTGAGTATCAGTTTCATGTTCTTGCTGTTGATGACAGCCTCATTGATAGAAAACTCATTGAAAGGCTTCTCAAGACTTCTTCTTATCATGGTTAACTATTCTTTTCTTTTCTTTTTTTTTCTTTCCATATTTGATATTTAAGGTTCTATGATCACGGAACTGAGTTCAGTCTAAATTATAGAACAGTTATTTTTCTTTTTGGTTGAGAACAGACCCTAGATTGATGTTTTTTTTTTTTCATTGTTGTGATTGTGTTTACAGTTACTGCAGTGGATTCTGGAAGCAAGGCTTTGGAGTTTCTTGGATTGAATAATAGCGATGAAGATGAACAGAGAAATTCAAATCCAGTATCTGTTGCTCCAGATGATGATCAACATCATCAACAAGTGGCAGTCAATTTGATCATCACAGATTATTGTATGCCAGGAATGACAGGCTATGATCTCCTAAGAAAAATCAAGGAATCTTCATCTTTCAAAGACATACCAGTTGTTATCATGTCATCAGAGAATATCCCATCAAGAATTAACAGGTTAGAAAACATTTTCCATGAAAAAATTTTTAATAACAGTTCAGATTCAAGTAATTGCTTTCCATGTTGATTATCAAGCTGACATTAATTGGTTTTGATTATTCAATCAGATGCTTGGAAGATGGAGCTGAAGAGTTTTTTCTAAAGCCAGTTCAATTATCAGATGTGAACAAGCTGAGGCCTCATCTGATGAAAGGAAGATCAAAAGAAATGCAACCAAATGTTAACAAGAGGAAGGGAATGGAAGAAATTCACTCTCCTGATAGAACAAGAACAAGATACAATGAATTAGAAGTGGTCTGATCAGCAAATCAATTAATATTTTCCGATTTATGAGATTAGTAGGAATTATTTTCTCGGGAGAATTTTCTTGATTATACAAAATCATTGTATGGGATTTTGGTTTCATTTGAAAGAAAAAGAGAAAGCTACTTGTCATGTTTAGAATTATGGAATCTAGGGTTCCACTGTAAATTACCAGAAGGAAAAATATAACTAAATTTTGTTGTTGGTTGATCAACAGAATATGTTCCTCTTGAGATCTGTGTCAGATTTTTCTATTTCAGTTCCAGAAATGTTATAATCTTCATCAGTTCATACCCGATTTATGTTCAAACTAAATCATGTTTGTCTGAAGGATATGCTTCTATCATATCTCTGGTTAAAAACTTGTAACAGATTCTTACCAGAGGCCTGAACCAGAATTCTATCTTTTGTCCTTGATCAATGATCTAAACCAACATTTCATTCATTTTCTCAGTAACGAAACACTCCTATGCTCTGTAAATTGTAAAACCATGCATCAATAGAGGGTTAAAATAATTAAAACAAGAAGATTCATAGGAAACTTTCTCAACGAATAAGAAATGGTGAATTAGCATAGATTATAATGATAAAGCAAAGCAAAATTTGATTGCCAATTCAAAACTGAATTACATTCCATACATGTCATTGAAAGCTAAACATACAAATTTTCTTATATGAAGGAACTATGATATTCAAGCTAATTCATCTTGCAGATTAGGTCATTGATTTCATCCTCACCATTACTAGCGTCTCCTCCATTTTTGTATGGCTGTTTCTTCCCTTGGATTAACCCATCTTCTGGCTTGCTGAGCATAAGGGGTCCCATAAAATGAATAATCTCCTTGAAATGTGGACCAACATTTGCAATTTTGTGTCTGATATCTTCTACGCATATGATGCCATATTTTCCACATGTCTGATAAAGAAACAACTTTTAGTTGCAAGCATTATGGACCTTTGGACAAAGTTAAATGGGGGACATCTTCCTGCAACTAGGGTAAGATGACTATGATACCTGTTCAATGATATTATTATCTGTCAGAGGAATTGCTTTCTTGTCAATCCTTGCATGGCCATTCTTGTAAATCAGCTCCTTCACGTTCTTAAGATTAGGATATCTGCATAAGACAATCTTAGCACTGTAAATCAATGATCTTAGGGGTAACTGCAAGTTAAAGAAACAAAAATAAAAGAATTAAGCACTCGAACTGAATCTGATTGGCCACAAAAAAAACTGAACCTGGAAGTGCAAGCCATTGGAAACTAGCATATCCCTTATAAGTGAACCTAGAGCCCAAAGCTCAGCGCAGTTGGTTCATGCAACCATTCTTAAGAGCTAACATTCAGCAAGTTTGGAGTTCGAATTCTAGCACTCGCAACTCCTTCCTGTATCCCCAAGCTATGGCCTCCTTTGCAACATAATTCTTTTCCGTAGCCTAATGTTATAGTTAATGAAGGTTTTGGACACATGCCTACAACCATTATAAAACCATTAAAAATTCTCTAAAGTAAACCATGTAGCTGCCCATAATGCAAAAAGGCTAAAATACTAAAAAACCCCTAAATTATTTCACTTTTCTTAAATAAGCCCCTATACTTTACCTAAATAAGTTCTTATTCCAAACAAATGATTGATTTATATTAAAGGCTTATTTAGATACAAAATAAATGTTAGGGGCTTATTTGGATATAAATTAAAGGTTAAAAGCTTATTTGGGTACAAATTAAAACTTAGAGGTTTATTTGGATGTAATAAAAGTATAAGGGCTTATCTAAGCAAAATGGTAAAGTTTAAGGGCTTTTTTGTTATTTTAACATTGCAAAAATACAAATGCCAAATATATTCAAGATCATTTGCGTGAACTATGCAAATTATGGAGGATAATCTGACAAATTTGTCTGGCACAAGCAATGATTACATATGCCCTAGATATTTCTGCACACTTTAGAAGCTAATGACAAAAGGATTTCTGCATAAGAATAGAGCCTTGATTAGTTCAGAATTATACAGTGAGTCCTCTATTTTTTTTTTTTCTTCTTAAGGGACAGATGGATGTTAAGTTTTACAACAGGTAGCAAATTCCTCCCAAGCATCCTATACAAAGAAAATCTCATGAAGCTTTTTTTTCTCAGTCAGTGTGCATTATTAGGCTCTGTGTGGGCTCTGCATAGGCTACTCCTAGGCAGTAATTATCCAAGCTAAATGCTCCCACTCCACCATGAATTAGACAAGCCAACCTCAAAAGAAGAGTTTCTAAATTATTAAACACATGATTAAGGCTCACATCAAGAGGCCAGTAATTGATGAGAAAAAGGTCTAATGTATACAGCATTTTCTTGATCAGAAGTTCACAGAAAGCAGTGGTTGATTCCATTAAGAAAAGACCAATAGCAAATCATTTACAAGAAAGGCAAATAGCAAATCACTTCAGATTCTAGCTAGTAAGATGACTAGAACAATTTGCCATGGCAAGTTTCATAGCTTGCTTCACAGAAATAAGAAAGGAGATGTATGTTGACCACCAAGGTGCGTGCAAAACCTTCTTGCACGTGATTCAATGTACATTTAGGCATGCAATTCAGAGTAATGACCAGAAAAAAAGGATATGAAGATGTAGGTAATTAAACTAAGCACTCATAAAACAATGATACGCATACAGTAGAGGATGAAAATGTCAATACACATAGAGTAACCGCTTACAATTTATATGTGTTTTGACCTCATTAGATTCAGCATTTTACATTTACCAGAAAAAGTTAGAATTCCAAACGAACAAAGGTTGTTTTCATACCCATATGTGACATACGGCTCCACCTTCATCAGCATTTCTATTACACCCTTGGTTGCCTTCACAAAGACACCACTGAAAACTTTCCTCAATCTTATATTCTATAAGATCTTCCTAGTTCTTGGATGCATGTCATTTTTGCTGAAAAAATAAAACTAAAAAGATCAGAGCTAGAAAACTTTGGGAAGCAAAGATACTGAATAAGATCAGTGCAAAAAAGGTCACTTACCCGTGTATACGGATAATGAAAAGCAACTTTGATCTCGGTTTTGGTATCATTGATTTAGGTCTCTTTGCCCTCTGTATCATTCTGATCTGGTCCAATTCCTAAACCCCCAAAAAATAGTTTTAGCATAATCTTATTTTCTTTTTGAAGTGGTACACACAACAACTAGGGGTGTAAATGCATTGAGCTGAACTGATACAATGCTAAGCTCAAGCTCAGTTAAGCTTTTATTTTTTGTCCTCAAGCTCAGCTCAAAAACATAATCAAGCTACAAAGACTTAATTAGGCTCAATTACTTTTACTCAAATAATGAATTTGAAACTTGACTCAAGCTTGCGTTCAATCTTAAAACACAAATAGAATTTGAAAAAATGTAAATAAATACTAAATCATATTTATACATGTAGGTTATATGTTAAAAAAAATAATTCATAAACTTCATTAGGCTCTTGAGTTGCTTGAGCCAAGTATTAAAAATACTCAAAACTCAACTCAACTAGTACCTCTAGCTACTTGAAGTCTTGTGCTTGGACTCCCCCATGACAATGAATAAGTCGAATTTGAGTATTCAAAACTAGTTGCATTCATTTATACCCCTAATCATACCCTAGTTACAATATAATACCATAAGGTCATGTTTGAATCATAGGATGATTATGGATAGGATAGGATGATAATCATCCTATACTATGTTTGATTTGTATCTAGAGAAAGGGATAGGATTGTAAGGAGGATTAATCATCTTCTTGACATAGGATGATTCAATTTTTTCAAAGTGAAGAGGATTATTTTTAATCCATGGGATTGAACTTACTTATCCTATTATTCTCTTAAATATTACATCAATAATTTAAATTGTATAAACTTTGAGAAAGGATAATTTTGACCAATAAATAAATTATCTTATCCTAATCTTTGCATTCATCAGACCTAAGGTAGCATAACATTATTTAATCTAATGCTAATCAAAATATCATATTATCCTATCCTATCATAATCTAATGCACCATAAACACCCTAAAGTCATGTTTGAAATACAAGATTATAATAGAATATGATAAGATAATATTATGAATAGGATTATATTAAATAATGTCATCCTATGATGTGTGCAAAAATTAGGATAGGATAATTTATTTATTGGTCAAAATTATCCTTCATCAAAATTTATACAATTTGAATTATTAATATAATTTTTAAGCGTATAATAGGACATGTAAGCTCGATTAAAAATAATTCTCTCTACTTTGGGTGAGAGGAGTGAATCATCTTATACCAAGAGGATGATTAATCCTCCTTATAATCTTATCCCTTTCTTTAGATACAAACCAAACATAATATAAGATGATTATGATCGTGTCCTATCCATCATCCTATGCATCCAACATGGCCTAGAGGAAACTATAGCACAGCAAAAAAAGGAAAGTAGAATTTTCAAAACAAAATTGCATTGAACCAAATGTAAAATCCCATTTCAGAAATTCTTGAATTTAATTGGTAAACTAAATTAGGAATAATTAATTACCTTGTCTCTGAACTCTTTTATGAACTGCTCGGGTTTTTTGATATCAGAAACATCAGATTGCTTCTTGCTTTTCTTGCTCCATATTTACCCGACTCCAACTGGGTCCTCCTCCTAATCGCCAACTCATCGTTTATTTTCCTTTCTTCAATACTATCCCTGACACATATGGCAATGGCTGTCCCTCCTCTTCTGCCATTAACTTTCTGCTTCATAGAATTTAAAAAAAAAAAAAAGAAATTTACTAAATTTAGGGGAAACAATCAGCAATAAAAGGAAAAATAATGAAGTTTAACCATCAAAAGGCGTTGGAAAATGGTGGCGCAGCTAAGCAGCAACGGTGGCGGTGACGCGGCAGAGGATAGCAGAGATGGAATGGAAAAAAATTAGGTGGCAATTGGCAAGGCAAACCTATTATTAAAATTTATTAATTAATTGTATAAAAAATTAAAATGAAATATAATAAACACTAAAATTAAAGAAAATTATAAACGATTTTTTATCTTTTATGGAATAATTTTCTATTCTAATTATTTTGGGTTACATATTCTAATTTTGCGATGTAATTTTATCATATATATTTTAATTTAATTTTAAAAAACAAAAATATTTTAATTTTTAACTAGTTTTAAATAGATTTAAATAATAATAATAATAATAATAATAATAGATTTAATTTAATTATGGTATATTAACAATTATGGTAATCTAATAAATTTGAAGATTATGTGAAAAGTTAATGACGTGGCGAAATAGGATTGGTGACTTGACTTTAAATGAAGTCAACAAGTTGACCAGAGAGTGCAGCGAAACCCCTACCCACGTCCCAAACAAATCCATCATTTTCAACAGACTTTTCCATCAGATT